CCCGAGTAAGTGGTCTCTGCACCGAAAACAGCGTGCCTCAAGCAGAGACTGGATAAATTCGCTGTGGGCATCACTTCGCAGTGGACAGCAACCTTGGGTACGCTCGAAGTAATGTCAAATGGACCTCTGGACTGTCCACGCAGCACACATCGTAAGGCATGCAATTCGGTTCAGCTAACTGACAACAGGTAACTAACCTGCTACACCGACAAGAAGTAACCTACTAACCTCTTTTTTGCTTACACTTTCAGATTACAAGAACAAACGAATTAAAAACAGAAATTTCTGAACATCCGAGTTTACCGTACAGATTAAGAAACAGGCAAAACTACAAACCAACGAGCTTTCTCCGCCTGTAAACTGGACATTGGACATTGCACATTTCCTAAGCAGGGATTCACTCCTCTCGGGGGTTGTTTATCGCTCCCCATCACTCCTAACTCAGCTTCGTGACCTCCGTCCCACCTGCACTTTCTCACACCTTATCCTGGGCGATTTCAAGGCCCCGAATATCGACTGGCTCAGATGCCACTCCAGGGATAGAAGTATTGGTGCACCCCTTATGAACCTCTTCAACGAACTCTCGTGGTTCCAAACGTAGTATCTCCCACGAGATACCGTGTCGGCCAACGTCCCTCGTTGCTTGATCTTGCGATTGCCAACGAACGACGCCAGATCGACATGATCGACATGAAGTCCTATTGGTAAAAGTGATCACCTCCTGCTTTCCTTTGACCATATTATCCGCTGGCCAACTTGCAGGCCCTGTTCCAGAATGCTACTTTCCTTCAAAAGGGCGGATTTTGTTCTCTTACGAGAATTCCTGGCCAACAGACTGGGCTCCTACAATATTTATACTGACCCGAAAAACCTAAATGAGTTGCTCGAGAGTCTACTTCACGAGGCGGACCACCTGTTTATTCCTAGAGGTCAATCTGTTCCTGACCATGGGCCTCCCCTACCCCGCTCCATTCGGCACCTAATGGACGAGCGCACCCGCTCATTTGCTAGACTAAAATGTACTGGGCTCGACGCCGATGCTGTCGAGTTCAAGCGAATCCGCAACTTCTGTAAGCAGAGAGTTACGGAATTCCACGATAGACAACAGAAAGTAATTATTCTTCGTGCTAGAAGTAACCCCAATTCGTTATTTAAGTCACTCTGCCGTAAAAGGCAACCAACCTCCTCGACACTAGCCCTCAAGATACATGATGGCTCTCCTGTAACCTCCTCTGCTCAGGTGGCAGAGATATTCCGGTCTCATTATGAATCTGCATTTAATTTCCCTCCTGTCTCTCCCCACCCCAATATTCCCTCTTTTAATGCACCGCCTCCATCAGAACATTTCCTCATTCATCCAGGGGAGATCGAATCACTCCTCAAGTCCCTGAATCCCTTTAGTTCGATGGGATCAGACGGCATACACCCTCGAGTGTTGAAAGAAGCCGCCTCGGTTCTTGCCCAGTACTATTTCACCCTTTTCCAGAAGTGTTTAGATGTTGGAATACTCCCTTCACCTTGGAAAAGAGGCATCGTATCTCTCCAATCTAAAAAAGGGGATCGACACACTCCAAGTAGTTATAGACCCACGAAAGCAAAGCGCTACCCTAAGACCTTCTACGGTATGTACATTCTAAGTCGACTACAAGGGAAGCAGTCGGCTGTATCAGGCAAAAGAACAACACCCCTGCCACGACAAACACCCAGAACGCCATCGCCTTGTGTGAGCACTTCCAGAGCGTACACACGAAGGATGAGGGCATCCTGCAACCCATGCACCAGCCGGCAGGATCCACGCTGATGGAGGAAATCATTTTCTTACCGCCGGAGCTGGAAAAGACCCAGGTGAATTTGGATAGGAGAAAAGCGGCGGGACCGGACGAAATCCACCCGGCACTGCTTGGGCCTCTAGGGAGTATCTTGGCTGCCCCGTTAGCTCGCCTCTTTAATCTGTCCATCGCGGCAGCCACATTGCAGCAGGACTGGAAAGTAGCTAATGTGGCTCTCATCCACAAAGGAGGCTACAGGGAGCTGGCCACTAATTATAGGCCCGTTAGCTTACTCTCCGTGGTCCTAAACGTCATGGAAAGACTAATCAGAGATAAGATGGCCAAGTACCTCACCGAACGTGGCCTGCTGGCGGAGGCTCAGCACGAGTTTCGTCAAGGCCGTTCGTGCCTCACAAACCTGCTAGCCTTC